TCTCTGACTTTGACATAAGAAATACAACCAAAAACTTTCAAGTGAGTAAGAGATACCTCTCGACCTTTCCATTCCTCCTCTGGAATTTTGAAACCTATGGGAGATGAGGGTCCTCTGTTGATCAAGTATGCTGCTGTGTTCACCGCATCTGCCCAGAACATCTTTGGAAGTCCTGCATGCAATCTCATGCTCCTGGCCCTCTCATTCAGTGTTCTGTTCATCCTCTCTGCAACACCATTTTGTTGTGGTGTTTCTGGAACCGTCTTCAGCATTCTGATCCCCTTTCGTGTAGAGTCATCAATGAATGTAACATAGTACCGGGAACCTCCAATCGAAGAGACCTTTGTCGGTCCGTAGACATCTGAATGAATCAACTCCAGCCGTTCAGTCTTCGGTTGTTGTCCCGTCTTCACAAAGGTTACCCTCTTTTGTTTGCCAAGAACACATGGCTCACAAAGCTCAACTTTGAATTCTTCAAATCTGGGATTTTACCTTTTGAAGACAGCATCTTCATTCCACTCTCACTTATGTGCCCAAGTCTTTGGTGCCACAAAGTAGAGACTCCATCATCTTCAACCGCTGCGTTTGCTCCATCTGTGGATACTTCAACCATGTACAGGGTACCATGCTTCTGTCCACGAGCAATGACCAGCTTTCCCTTTGTCACCTTCCATTGCTTGTTGCCAAAACTAACGTTATGGCCTTCCTCATCAAGCTGTCCAACTGAGATCAACATCTTCTTCAGGTCTGGAATATACCTCACGTCTTTCAGCCTCCAGGTTGTACCCAAAGAGGTACTGAGATCAACATCTCCAATACCCGTGATCTCCAGGGATTTGTCATCCGCCAAACGAACTCTTCCGCTGTAGGGCCTGAAATTTTTCATCAAATCCCTGCAATGACAAGCATGAAACGACGCACCTGAATCCATGATCCAGGACTCAACTGAATTCTCAACGCTGCAAATTAGAACATCTTCATAATCCTCTGCCACGTTCACCTCCTTCTTGCCTTTGTCTGCAGGGGGTTTTGGGCACTGATTTCTGAAGTGTCCATTCTCTTTGCAATTCCAACAATTGATGTCCTTCCGGTTCTTGGATTGTCCTCTCTTTCTCGACTTCGATCTTCTCTTCTTGTTACCCCCTCTAGTGGATTTTATGCCCCTATCTTCAGTACTCAATAAACTATTGGAGCTATCCACCGAACTCCTCCTCCGGATATCCTCACCAAGGATTAAGTCACGAATACCTTCAAAGGTAAGCTTAGTGGTTCCAGCCGAACTACTAACTGCTGTGACTGTACCGGACCAACTATCGGGCAAAGATGATAACAAAAGTAGTGCTTGAACTTCATCATCGAATTTAATCTCAACCGAGCCTAACCTGGATATGATTGAATTAAACTCATTGATGTGATCTGCCACGGATGCACCTTCCTTCATTCTTGTATTCACCAACTGTCTAATCAAGAAAACCTTGTTTGCTGCTGAGGGTTTCTCATACATGTTGGATAACGCCTTGAGCAGTCCAAACGTTGTCTTCTCGTTGACGATGTTGTAGGCAACGTTCTTCGCCAACGACAACCTCACCACACCAAGAGCCTGTCGATCCAACAAATTCCATTCCGCCTCCGTCATCGTTTCTGGTTTGTTCTCAGACAACGGTTGATGAAGCTTCTTCTGGTAGAGATAATCCTCGATCTGCATCTTTCAGAAAGCGAAATCTTGACCATCAAATTTATCGATCTTAACCTTCCCTTCGTCAGCCATAGCTCTGATACCAATTGTTACGATTAGGCAAAGATAAACGATAAATTAAGAGCAAGAACACAAGAATTAACGTGGTTCACGCAATCGGGGTGATTACGCTAGTCCACGGCGAACGAGAGAGAGTATGTATTATTATCAGCGTCCCCCCAAGAGGTTTACAAGTACATAAGAGTCGTTTAAATAGGTTTAGGAAAACCTAAACTGAGATTAGAGCCGCAGGCCCAAAATTAAGCCTGTTTTTTAAAATTCCTGTCGCCTGACCCGGTCGGGTCTCTTATTTGACCCGGTCGGGTCTCCTTCACAGAACACAAACCCGGTGGAAACCAGGTCGGGTTTCCAAAACAGAAGCCAAAACCAACCCTGACCCGGTCGGGTCCCTCCCCTGACCCGGTCGGGTCTCACTTCCAGTGAGATCCCCCGGTCTCTGCTTCAACATACCCGGTCGGGTGGCCAACCATACCCGGTCGGGTATCTGCTCTTAACCTAAGAACAAGACTCCATCTTCAACGGTTTTTACTTTATTAATCCTCACGTTGGTCAAATTTGGCAAAGTTATTAGGTACGGAGGGAGTACTACGTAGTACAATATACTACCTTTGTCCTGCTTAAAGGTTTCCATTGTGAAATGACACAATTATTTAGAAAATAATTAAATAAGGTAATTCGAGTATATTTTGAAAAATAGTTATGATGGGTATATTATATAATGAAGTCACCGATGATAACAGTGATGTTATAGATGTATTATATGTAATATTTGATGATTAAATTATCATTTAAGAGTGTTAATTGTTTCCTAAAATATAAATGAGAACATGTATATGGGACGTCCAAAAAAGGAAAACCAGAACCTTAGAATGAAACATTGGGAGTACATTTGAATAAAAATATGAAGTATACAACATTTTTTACCGCGGACTCATTTAGTTTTCTTTGAACAATTTATGTTATATTATAAATGTTAATCAACTATAAACTTAAAACTTTGATAAAAGGGGAATCTTTTTTCTAGTGGTTGAGAAACAGCTAGACATTTTCATGTCATCAATCCTTGATGAAAACGGTTAGCAACACAAGAGGGGGGTGAATTGTGTGTGTGTGGAACCGTGGTAGTTTTTCGCCGAGTTCTAGTGTGGGATGAAGGGAATTGCAAAATAGTAAAGTGCACAAGAATTTAACGAGGAAAAATCCCTTGGCTCAAAGGGATTAAAAAACCTCGACCTCCCTCGGAGGAATTTTAAACAACTTCACTAAACAAGCCTTTGAAAGAGTTACAAGAGTGATTCTCCTAATCTACCCTTGAGCCTCCCCAACTCTATCCTCTCTAGGAAGAGTTATGCATCTCTACCTTGCGGGTAGAGAGCCTCTCAGCTTTGTCACAAAGCTCTCACACACACTTAACCCGAGGCAGCTACTCTAGCCAATTAAGCCTCAATAATCCAAGTACAATATGAAAGGGAAAAGAGAAACTCTATCTAGAACTCCGAGCGGGCAGTTCCAGGCGCCAAGGACTTGATCCTTTTCTTGAATGATTCTTCTAAGTATTTTTCTCGGTTCAGCACACATTTCTTCTCTTGGTCTTTGGCATATATAGGCTTCTTTATATGTCCGTTGAAGCATCACCGAACTTGCCTTCATATTATTTAAAAACCTTCCTTTCTTAAAAATCTTCTTTATTTGGACTCAATGCTTTAATAAAATCAAGATTCTCAAGACAACGTATTATCATAATATGAAGGAGTAATTAATTTGCTTACCGTATACAAGCATGCAACGATCCATAAGAAGCAATCAATTTTGGTAATAAGATATTTATTTGATAGCAGCTTCGGATAATCAGTCATGCAATCAATTATCAAGCAATCATGCACTAAAATATTTATCTCAATATTTTACTTAGAAAAGCTACGGTCAACTTTTCATAAGGATAGAAGGATACCCACTTAGCATAGATAAGCATGCAATTAACACGTAGGGATTCTTTCCATGGATAAAGCTAGATAGGACCAACTTTTAAAAAGCATGCAATCATGGCAAGTGGAGATTCTCTTCATAAAGCATTAGTCAATATAAGCCAACTCAATAAAGTGAATATTTAATTATGCATGGAAAGAAATTCAAATGACTTATGCACCGTACTTCTAAGATGGTCATGCATTAAAAACATTCTTGCTTTATTATGATAATCTTTACTAAAAAGTAAGTGGCCTATTCAATTAATTCCAAGTGGTGATCACATAATAAAAGGTATTATCAATTATCACATACACCCTTACAAAGAAAGCATATTAATTGATAATCAAATAAATTCTATCATATTAATTCAAACCATTCCACTGAGCTAGAAATGGTTCAATATTAGTTCCACCTGCAGGGTTAGTCAACAACACACTAATAGTGTCCATTTGGACCTGAGGATAGTTCTGTCCGCCGTTCCACCTGCATGGTTAGTTATCAATAAAACATATATGTCTGTTGTAGGATAGTTCCGGGTTCAGGTCTACGGCTTGTTCCAAAGCACGACTCATCTTCCTTTCTTGCCATCACTTATAGACCAAAAGTAACACTAGTTGTTTGTCATCAACAAAACAATATGTTCCAACAATCCTAGTAAAAGAAATTAGGTGTTAATTTATACGAGTAATACTTTATGTTTTCTCTTTTATTTTCCTTAACATTTTATTTAAATAATAAATGCAATAGGGTGTATAGATCAAATAAAGAAATAAATATATAAAACCGAATCAACCCAAACTAAATCCAACCAAATCATCTTCACTTTAGTAATCGAACTTGAGTCCAAACAAAATCGAACCATTCCCAATATGAACCAAAACCAAACTGGAACACAAATTATTTTAGTTTGATACAAAATCTCCCAACTCGAATAAACTGAACCCGAACCTAAATCGGTAAAAATAGAACTGTAAACCGAATTGTCCATCCCTAGAGGTATGATGTGGAGTATTTAAGAAAACTATTTAGGGATTTCATATTGAATATGTCAAACAATTTTCTGAATTTAGTATTGAATCCTTATGAATTTTGGCCTTCTAGGTAAGGGATGTTTTTCTGATTTTACTAAAACCGTAAAAGTGTCGGGTAACATCTATTTTAGTCAAGCAAGTAAAAAAGACTACTAATTGTACTGATAAATAGGACAGTATTTTGACCAATTTTATACACATCAATGGGCATATGATGAGATGATCTCACTTTTGCACAACTACAGGTTTATGAAACTAGTAAGAAAACATGGACTTTAAAAGGAGAAGAACAAGAGGCTGGAAAGAAGGAGTTTATAGAAGTCCTAAAGGTGTTAGAAGGTGAACTGGGAGAGAAGCCATACTTTGGGGGTGAAAAGTTTGGATTTGTGGATATTTCCCTCATTGGATTCTACAGCTGGTTTAATGTGTTTGAGAGCTTTGGCAATTTCAGCATAGAAGCTGAGTGTCCCAAGTTGATTGGTTGGGCTAAAAGGTGCATGGAGAGGGAGAGTGTCTCCAAGTCTCTTCCTGACCCTCACAAGCTTACCCAGACAGTGAAGCATTGGTTGGGCATTGCTTAATCATTACTCATTAACTAATATTTCATCAATAAATCTATGTGCTCGATGTATTTTCTTGGGCACAAATCCAATCCTAGGTAATTTAAATTGTTGTGCATCTATTTGATGTTTGTGTGTTTGTTTTGAAGAAGTTTATGTTGTTGGTGTTCAAGTGTTTTATGTGTACTAAAGACACTTGAGTGTGTCTGCTAAATCGTGTTGGATTGGAAATAATGTTGGTTCTATTTATTATTGATTACTTAACGTTGTCTTTGAATATTTAAATGATTCCATCTTTTTCCTCATACTATAAGTAGTACGGAGTACTATGTACTCCTTAAAAAATGGCATAATTAAATAGGATTAAAATTAGCGTGAAATTCAAAAATGAGAAAGTTATTATATATTTTCTAACAACATTATAATCTCCAATCATGTTTAATACCCCTGATTTAGGTCAACCTGGCTTGTGCATAGGAGTATGTACACTGCTCTTTAAAATTTGGACTACATTCTTCTTATTCTCTTCTCCACCCTTACGGCGTCAAAGTTTTTTCTTTTGCTATATCCGATCCTCGGCAAATTAATCCCACCGCAGTCAATTAAATTCAATTTCTTCAAACCTTCTCCCTCCCTTGCTTTGTCGTCTCCCTTTCTTCAGAGCACGCAACTAGCTGAAATTAATTCCAATTGTCATAGCCTCTTATTACAAACGTCTGATCTTAAAAAAAATACGAGTAGTATATCTAGAAGCTCTTAAACTTGGCAACTGCATTTTCCGTCTTTGACGTTGTGGCAGGCTGGTAGCATTATTATTAAGTAATAATGGTATTACTTAGTAACCTTGTGCAAATAACAAGGTACAAATAACATTGTGCCAAGCAATTGTACTGATTATGCATTTATGCACAAGATGTACTAATATTGAAATAATCATTCCTATGGGCGGAGTCAGGGCACTGGGCCGGATTGGACCGATACAAAGAATATTTTTGGAAAAAAATTTATACTGATTTTTTTACACTAAAAATTTAGACATTTTTAAAATTTGGGCTGGGCCAGGGCCAGTGTTGGCCCTCCCCTAGCTCCGCCCTTGATCCTTCCATGAGTTATAAACCAAACTTGTATTGAGTTTATGTCTGAGCATGACATGATGTGAGGGAGAATTAGGTCTTGGGACATGAATGTTATCTTGACTCATTTATTTCTAATATAAGTTATTTCCTTTCAAAAAAGATTAATTCCTTACAAACCAAGCATTCTAGCCCAGCTGGTTGTGAGGTTAATTACCGTGCCTAGTGGGAGGTCTGAAGTTCGAAACCCACTAGACACAAAAGGGTTTGAAACTCAATGAAGTAAGTTTCTGCCTGATTGCTTCAGGAGCCCCTAGACCCCCTGGAGAAAAAAAAAAGATTAATTCCTCTCAATAAGAAATGCTATTGATAATAAGATGTGAATAAGAAATAGAGAAATTGCCAAAATATACATGAAATAAGACAGTATTATGAAATAAACTATTTAAAAAAATGCCCCATGAAATAACATTGACCCTATAATTTATTAACAAATAGGATAGATATTTCATAAACTATTTAATAAAACTCATAACAATCTCACATAACAATCCGTTAGTTCTAAAATAAGAGTGATTACTTATATTTCTTGAAAACACTGTGGACTAAGATAGTAAGATATTAATATTGTCATATTGATGTTCGGTAATGTCAAAGTAGGACAAATAATTTCACAATGACCTCCTAGATTTTCATACGCAGTATGATTTTTACTCATATTTGAAAAAGAAACATTCCTAACCTAGTCTTTTAAAAGTTGCATGGAGAAGCTTTTCCTTTTCAAAGGATTTGTATTGGTTCATAAATATTCCTTAGAAAAGAAAGATCAAATTAGACACTATGCTTACATGTAAATCTAACATTGGTGATGAAGTTTAATCCAACTACGAGAGCTATATCTACAAGATCAGATGAAATTTGGGCAGCGTAAGACAGTATTATTAATCCTGAATCCGGTCCCTTCATGGGAAATATACATGAAGTATTTATAGACTTTAGGAACTAGTGTTCTAGGAGGAAACTAATACATTAAATGCCCATTAATCGAAATAGACTCCTGTAACGCCTTGGACGTTGTGCAATGATTATCTCCTTTAAGTCCACGTTTCTTCCGTTTATTCCTGCATGCTGCTTGATAGCTATGCGCGAACGATAGCCTACCACGTAAGCCCCAAGGAAAGTCTGACCCTACTAAAACTCCGTCCAGACTCGAGGTCTGCTGTGCAGCCCGACCTGGCTGTGGGTTCCTTTCGTGAGTCTCATTCCTAATCAGGCCCATTGGCTAACCAATATTAATCGGCTCTGTTCGGCTATCGCCATTTGGGGCGTTTCCTAGTGGAATTTTTTGATGAAATTGTTTGAGCATCTTCTTCATTAAATCTAGTTTACTCATACCAAATTTCAGCTAAAAATTAAACCAAGAAGACATATAGTTCTATTTGTTTACTTTTTCTAAGTTTTAGTATATCTACGAAGTAGGGTAATTCTAGTTGTACACAAAATTTGAACACTACTAATACATTATCTGTGTACACATATATTTTGACTTGAAATTCTGCTTTTTTTAAATGAAGATCTCAAGATATAATTTTTCTACCAAGCACTCTCTAATCCACCGAATCCATGCCCAATCAAATCAATGCCCTGAAACATAGGGTGAATTTTCCATTTAATTATCTGCCAAGCCAAACAGCACTCTGCCATCCTATCCTTCCAGCATACAAATCACAATCATTTTCTTCTTATTTCACCCTTAGCTTGCTTCCAAGTTTTTGATCGCAGAGTGAGTGAAATGGCTCAAGAAGAAGTGATATTGTTGGATTTCTGGCCGAGCATGTTTGGGATGAGGGTAAGGATTGCTCTGGCTGAGAAGGAGATTAAGTATGACTACAGAGAAGAGGATCTCAGAAACAAGAGCGACCTGCTTCTCAAGATGAACCCGGTTCACAAGAAGATCCCGGTTCTCATCCACAACGGCAAGCCAGTCTGCGAGTCAAACATCGCAGTGGAGTATATTGATGAAGTTTGGAAGGACAAAGCCCCTCTGCTCCCCTCTGATCCTTATCAGAAATCCCAGGCCAAGTTCTGGGCCGACTACGTTGACAAGAAGGTATAGCATATGATTTGCTTTTTTATAATAAATAGTATGTGGTAAAACTTTTTATTTGCTTTTTACTCTACGGTAACTTCAGCCAAACAACCAGCAAAATAACTTATTATTACACAATCCATTGCGCGAAATCAAAAGGTGTTTGGTTAAAAAGTGTGTTGATAAGCCTGATAAGCCGCAAAAACAAGTTTACTAAACGGGCTCATAATGTTCTCTTTTGAAGCAGTTAAGTAAAACATGTTATAGTTAGAACTTGCATATATACATGTAGAGAAATCATCATGTCAGACCGTCCTGATCGGGAGAGCCGTCCGGCCGAGCCCTTTTGGCGACCTTCCGGGTGGAATTTTTTGATGAAATTTTTTGAGCATGTTCCTCATCAAGTCCAGTTTGTCCATACCAAATTTCAGCTCAAAATTCGATCAGGAAGGCATTCAAATCTTTTTTTGAAGTTGACTGCGTTTTTATATGTATATTTTGACGCAGTCAACTTCAAAAAAAGATTTGAATGCCTTCCCGATCGAATTTTGAACTGAAATTTGGTATGGACAAACAAGACTTGATGAGGAATATGCTCAACAAATTTCATAAAAAAATTCCACCGGGAAGGTGCCAAAACGGGCTCGGCCGGACGAAGGTTCCCGTCAGGCCGGCCTAACAAGAAGAGTTCTCTATACATGTATACTCTTGAACTATGCGTATACATTAGCACTTTGATTGATATTCTCTAATACTATGTACTTCGTATATACGAAGTATACTTTCGCAGTATTTTGTGTCAACTTTTATAGTTTTATGTTAACAAAAAACTAGTACATCTCAGAAGCTAAGCAGGTTTTGATGAAATAATAATTAAGCTTTTTTTGAGATATATAAATTTTCCTATGTAGTCAGAGTTTTTACAAATTTTGGTGTGGTACGGGACCCAGCAAACTGAATAGGTTAAATTTATGAAATATGATGAAAGACCTTGTGGGTTTTAGATGTATATATATAGTTCAGTCACAAATGAGTTCAATCAAATCAGACTAGTTTAGACGATATCAAACTTAAACGAATCAAAACGAACTTAATCACCCGATCAGTTTTACGAATACACAGATCAAATTAAGCATATTACAATCAACTTGTTGCACCACTGCAGGTTCATGATCCTGGTATGAAATCATGGACTTCAAAGGGAGAAGAGCAAGAGGCAGCAAAGAAGGAGTTTATAGAAGTTCTAAAGGTGCTGGACGGAGAACTGGGAGAGAAGCCATACTTTGGGGGTGAGAAGTTTGGGTTTGTGGATGTTTCCCTCATTGGATTCTACAGCTGGTTTTATGTTTATGAGACTTTTGGCCATTTCAACATAGAAGCTGAGTGCCCTAAACTGATTGGTTGGGCTAAGAGGTGCATGGAGAGGGAGAGTGTGTCCAAGTCTCTTCCTGACCCTCACAAGGTCTATGAGTTTGCCCTAATGCTGAAGGAAAAATGGGCATTGCCTAAACAGTAAACACCACTCATTATAGATGCATAGTATATGCTCAATTTGCTTGAGTGTCTGAATAATGTATGTATGGCAATAATGTTACTTTCATCTATGGTCTAATCAAGTTTGTGTTACAAACATGTTTTCATTATTTCTGTAAGTATTTCCTACGTATTGCATTTTGATTCTCTATCATTTCCACATGTATCACAATTTTCTAATTTTCTATGTCCCTTTTTAACTGTCATATTAGGTTTTTCACGATAATTAAGGAGTAGGCCTGGCCTCGGGCCGGTTCGGGCCCGGTTCGGGCCTGGGCCCGGCCGGGCCTCGGTTCAGAAATGTAAGGCCCGGGCCCGGCCCGCCTGTCAGCGGGTGCCGGTTCGGGCCGGGTGACCAGGCTGGGCCCCGGGTCGGGTGAACCGGCGGGTCGGGTCGGGCCTAGAAATTTTTTTTTTTTTTTTAACTTATATTCTTATACATCTACTTGGAATCTTGAATATTAAAATTATTTAAAAACAATCTTGAAGTACATTTATGTGAAATAAGTAATAAGTACATTTTGAGAATTGAGAACAATTAATTCTAATACATTTTCTATTAAGTAATAATAATATAATATAATTAAAAAATGCGACATATAAAAAAATTTAATTTTTATTGATTTGAAATATGAACTACAAATCTACAAGTTCACAAATTACAATAGAGAATTGAGGATAAAATAAGAAATTGTAAAATACTAATCAATCGGAATCCCCGGCATAGGTAGAACCACCATCGGTTGATTCATCCATAAAGTCTTGGGAGGGGATGAGACTAAGTTCTTGAGTTCTACGTCTTGCCTTCAACCAATCGTGGTAGCATATAAGTGTCTCAAGAGATTCGGCACTCAAACACGTTCTCGATTTAGTTAGGACGTTGCCGGCCGAACTAAATTCTTGTTCCACGGCAACTGTTGAAACCGGCATTGATAGTACTTGCTTAGCCAATCGTGCCAAAATCGGGAACGTTCTTTCTTTTGACTTCCACCACTTTAGGACGTCAAAATCTTCATTTTCTACAAACTCAACCTCATAGTTAATATACAAAGCAATCTCATTAATTGTGCTTTGTTCAGTAGTGTGCGTTGTTTTAGCTTTTTTCATAAGATTGCCAAATGCAGATTTAAAAAGACCTTTTCCTTTAGATGAAGATGTTTGGGTTGGGGGAGGGGGCATGTTGCCATATTGTGCACGAAACTCATTAAATAAAGAATAAAATAAACTACTAACCTCGTTGTATTCAGATTGCGGATCTATAGGGTTATCTTCATACATTGGAAAATCACCATAAAAAGATTGATAATAGAACTTGTAACATTGTTCCAAATTACTAAGTCGATAACGAGGATCGAGAATAAAAGCAATACCATAAATATGTGGAATATGTGAATAATATTTTAAAAACTTTTCCTTCATAAAAGTACAAAAATAGCTCACATAATCGGCATTTTGAAATTCATTAAAAGCACCGGCGAGATTAACAAGTTCACGCATAAATTCGTTTGAAGTAGGTTTATAAACATGACTAAAACTTTCAGTTGCATTATTAAAAAATATCAAAACATTACAAATTTTTTCGCAAGTGTCGATGTGAGCAGAGTTTAAAATGTAGTTATCATATTCTTTTAAAAAAGCAGGAAAATGTTCTTTATATCTAATAAGAACTCTAATTAATTTATAAGAACTATTCCACCGAATAGACAAATCTTTAGGAAAAGCAACATATTTCACATTTCTTTCATTCAAATAATTTTTCCATTTTAATTTAAGTTGACCATTAGCCCAAATACGTCTAATCCCCCCCTTCGCTACCTCCATAGCATCTCCCAACGCTTTTAGACCATCCTGCACACATAAATTTATTATATGGCATGCACATCGTTGATGAAAAAATCTACCCATCAAAGTAGTAGCACCACACAATTCACGCAATCTAGGTATAGCAGCAGTATTATTAGTAGCATTATCAAAACCTATAGCAAACACCTTATTAACCAAATTATACTCAATTAAAATGCGCTCAATCAAAATATAAATATGTTCAGCGGTGTGACGATCATTAAATTCACGAAAAGCAAGAACACGTTTATGCATATTCCAATCATCATCAACATAATGTGCAGTCAAACCCAAATAATGTAAATTATGATAGGTGTCCTCCCATATGTCAGAACAAACAGTAACACGTCCATCATAGTTTGCAAAAAAATTTTGTAAGTTCAACTTTTCCGCCTTATAAAGCCTTATAATTTCTTTTTTAACCGTTTTTCGACTAAAACTTCGAAATTGAGGATTTAAACAAGTTTGTGCATACTCTTTAAAAGAAACACTTTCAGAAAACAAATAAGGTAAATTTTCTTCAACTATAAAGTTAGCCATACCAGTCAAATTTTGTTGATCATTGTATGAGAAATTACCATAAGGTTGGTTGTTTGCAAACCTCGATATTTGTGTTTGCTTCCCCTTGCCTTTCTCAATTTTTGCGTACTCCACCTTGTGCTTGCCCATAAGATGCCTTTTGAGGCTCCCGTATCCGCCCGAAGTTCCCAAACTGTACACCTTATCGCAATGGTTGCAACTTGCGTACCATTTCTCGGTGCTTGGGTCTTTATACTTTTTAAAATTATTTTCTATAATAGGAGATTTAGATTTCGTACCTATTTGGGATGAACCACCCTCGTCACCCTCGTGGTCCGCCGCTTGCTCCTCATCCGGGGTGCCGTGACTCCCGGCGCCCCCCGCGTCCTCCTCCGGATCGTCATCCTCGAGCTCTTCTTCGTCAATGGTGTGAATATCGTCCGGGAGGACCGGGATGTCTCGTTGATGGAAAAATTGAGGATTTTGAGCCAATAGTTGTTGTAGTTGCTCGTAGGACATTCTTTCGCCATCTCGCCGTTGATATTCCGGTTCGTCCTCCCATCCACTTTGAGAAGAAGATCCGGACTGCCCGCTTTTTTTGCGCAAACTAGGATGAGTTCTCGCAATCTCCTTCTTTCGGTTGCGTTGGAGATTTCCGATATCCAAAGAATGTCTACCGCGCTCCATCTTAACAAATATAAAAGTATATCAAATATTTTAATATGTATAAATTTACTAGGTGTACACTTAAATGACAAATGCAACAATTTAACTAGTCTTATTACTTTTATACTTTAATTAAAATGTCTAAATTTACCACTTGTACACTTTAATGAATAATGCAACAAATTAACTAGTTTTATACTTTAATTAAAATGTCTAAATTTACTAGGTGTACACTTTAATGAATAATGCAACAAATTAACTAGTTTTATACTTTAATTAAAATGTCTAAATTTACCACTTGTACACTTTAATGAATAATGCAACAAATTAACTAGTTTTATACTTTAATTAAAATGTCTAAATTTACTAGGTGTACACTTTAATGAATAATGCAATAAATTAACTAGTTTTATACTTTAATTAAAATGTCTAAATTTACTAGGTGTACACTTTAATGAATAATGCAACAAATTAACTAGTTTTATACTTTAATTAAAATGTCTAAATTTACTAGGTGTACACTTTAATGAATAATGCAACAAATTAACTAGTTTTATACTTTAATTAAAATGTCTAAATTTACTAGGTGTACACTTTAATGAATAATGCAACAAATTAACTAGTTTTATACTTTAATTAAAATGTCTAAATTTACCACTTGTACACTTTAATGAATAATGCAACAAATTAACTAGTTTTATACTTTAATTAAAATGTCTAAATTTACTAGGTGTACACTTTAATGAATAATGCAATAAATTAACTAGTTTTATACTTTAATTAAAATGTCTAAATTTACTAGGTGTACACTTTAATGAATAATGCAACAAATTAACTAGTTTTATACTTTAATTAAAATGTCTAAATTTACTAGGTGTACACTTTAATGAATAATGCAACAAATTAACTAGTTTTATACTTTAATTAAAATGTCTAAATTTACTAGGTGTACACTTTAATGAATAATGCAACAAATTAACTAGTTTTATACTTTAATTAAAATGTCTAAATTTACCACTTGTACACTTTAATGAATAATGCAATAAATTAACTAGTTTTATACTTTAATTAAAATGTCTAAATTTACTAGGTGTACACTTTAATGAATAATGCAATAAATTAACTAGTTTTATACTTTAATTAAAATGTCTAAATTTACTAGGTGTACACTTTAATGAATAATGCAACAAATTAACTAGTTTTATACTTTAATTAAAATGTCTAAATTTACCACTTGTACACTTTAATGAATAATGCAACAAATTAACTAGTTTTATACTTTAATTAAAATGTCTAAATTTACTAGGTGTACACTTTAATGAATAATGCAACAAATTAACTAGTTTTATACTTTAATTAAAATGTCTAAATTTACCACTTGTACACTTTAATGAATAATGCAACAAATTAACTAGTTTTATACTTTAATTAAAATGTCTAAATTTACTAGGTGTACACTTTAATGAATAATGCAATAAATTAACTAGTTTTATACTTTAATTAAAATGTCTAAATTTACTAGGTGTACACTTTAATGAATAATGCAACAAATTAACTAGTTTTATACTTTAATTAAAATGTCTAAATTTACTAGGTGTACACTTTAATGAATAATGCAACAAATTAACTAGTTTTATACTTTAATTAAAATGTCTAAATTTACTAGGTGTACACTTTAATGAATAATGCAACAAATTAACTAGTTTTATACTTTAATTAAAATGTCTAAATTTACCACTTGTACACTTTAATGAATAATGCAACAAATTAACTAGTTTTAAACTTTAATTAAAATGTCTAAATTTACTAGGTGTACACTTTAATGAATAATGCAATAAATTAACTAGTTTTATACTTTAATTAAAATGTCTAAATTTACTAGGTGTACACTTTAATGAATAATGCAACAAATTAACTAGTTTTATACTTTAATTAAAATGTCTAAATTTACTAGGTGTACACTTTAATGAATAATGCAACAAATTAACTAGTTTTATACTTTAATTAAAATGTCTAAATTTACTAGGTGTACACTTTAATGAATAATGCAACAAATTAACTAGTTTTATACTTTAATTAAAATGTCTAAATTTACCACTTGTACACTTTAATGAATAATGCAATAAATTAACTAGTTTTATACTTTAATTAAAATGTCTAAATTTACTAGGTGTACACT